CCTAAGGACGTCAGTTTTGCCATTGTTTCACCTGCAGTGTGTGACGAGGCGTTGTCATGCAACAGGATGACACCTTTGGAGAGCTTTCCTCGATGTTTTTCCTTGATGTTTTGCCTCAACTTTATCAATATAGCACAGTAATATTTTGCATTGATGGTTGAACCCTGTTGGAGGTAGTCTACCAGCAGAACTCCCTTCTTATCCCAAAAAACTGTTGCCATTTGCTTCTGCACCGACCTTTGCACTCGGAACTTCTTTGGCCTGGGGAAACCACTGTGCCTCCATTCCTTAGACTGTTCCTTTGTCTCAGGATCATAACAGTAGATCCATGTCTCATCACCACCAGTTTGCCCAGGAAATCTGACTCGTTTCTTGCAAAATGTTCCAAAACAGCCACCGATGACTCCACATGTTTCCTCTTTTGTTCGGTTGTCAAAAGTTTGGGGATCCACTTTGCTGCCAGCTTTCTCATTTCCAAGTTGTTGTGGATAACGGCATCAACTCTCTCACATGATATTCTCAGATATATAGCAATACTTTTGGCTGATATTCGGCGGTCCTCCATGATCATGTCATGGGTGGCTTTCACATTTGCAGGCACAGAGACAAAATGCCATTAAATTGTTCCACGCATAAGCAGTAACTCCAACTACTGTATGGCTCCCAATTGGGCTCCTTCTCAAATATTGCAACCTTAGAATGTGTGCAATCAAAATTCCTGAGGGCAATGTTATGAGTCCCCAGAGATGTCGCCAAGGTAAAACTAAGATTGGAAACTAGTCAAATTAAAATCGAAGCCAGGATATGGATTGCAATCCTCATGTACTGGCTCAGACGGTATTATCTCCCTACTGGTCTTGCACCATTGATCCTGCAAGACACCTTAAAGTCAAAATGGGTTGTTAATTGAATAAAAAATATCCCCTTTTGGTCTCTCTAGGTTGAATCTGTTAACCATGGGAATGGAACAGGCAAAGAAAATAATCAAGCAGCGTATTGAGGATATTGAGAGACAAAATGATTTAAGCAGTGCCCCAGAATTCTACCTTAGGGAGGATAATCTATATAAGGTCACAGCAGCACCTTATTTTGCCCAGTTGGAGCAGCTCAGGCATAGAAGGGTGTTTACCCTGGCCCGGCTTAATGCATTACCTTCAGCAGTGCAGGAAGGACGGTATAAGAAGATTCCCTGGGCAGAGCGCCTTTGCCCATGTGGAATGGAGCAGATAGGAACAACTGAACATGTCCTGTTGCAGTGCACATTTTACAAAGATGTATGTGAAGAACTCGTCTCCTCTCTGATTGGCTGATTTCCCGGTTGAACAGAGCAACAATGTATGCACATGCTGCTGTCTGACTCCAATCCCATTCTTACACATAGGGTTGCCAAATTTTTCACTGCTGCAATGGGCATTAGAAAAAGGACCCTAAAAGTAGATGAGCCTCTGTAGTTAGAACATGGTTTGCCAGAAATTCTGGAATTGCTTTAGGGGAGATGTTTTGATGCTGCTGTTGTTCTCAGAACCAAGTATTTGCATTTTATCCCAATATTTTTGTAAATCCCTGTATATTTATACATTTTGATGTTTTATTTGTGGCTGGTCTTAGACCATACTAAAGTTTTATTCTATTCACAGAGACAAAAACAGGCCTTCCACTGGGTTTCTCACTTTCCAGACCGAAATGGTCAGTTTTAAAATTGACAACCCAACGTTTAACTGTTGTATATGAAAGGCCACTGTCACCCATAGTTTGTGACATTTCATCATGGATTTGCTTTGCCCCTTTCCCTTGGAGAAACAGGAACTTGCTTATGGTCCTATGCTCTTCCACAATGAACTTTTCTGGAGGTGCTGCCATGTTCACTTTGGACCTGAACATGAAAGATAAGTTAAAATCATACGTAGTTGATTTTTGCACCATTGAATACAGACAAATTGGCCAATACACCCTGAAATTTATAGCTTCCTAGCTCAATTTTTTTCTGGGAAAGGCTCAGTATTTATCAGCACCCCCTCGTATGCCTCCACAAACCGGCATCTACTCAAGAGGCCAGCACTTCACGCAATAGATCTCTGAAGCCCAGAAAAATCAGGCTTTTCAATCCTGCAAACTCACTGTAATCTGGGAGATCCTCATCAGACTCTGGAAGGTGCACTTCTCTTGTATCTCGCTGACTGCTCTCTCCAGGATTGGTTGTCAAGTCTGGACAGGCACTTTCATTTTTTTCTTCAGCTGAATCTCTCTCTAAAGCTGCAATCATTTCCTTATAGGCCAGTCTTGCTTCCATTGTTAATTCCACCATTTTGTGAAAATAGTCCTAAGGCATGACAATTAAAAGACAGTGTTTTTAGACTGATGTTCAACACAGGTCTCCAAACTTGATATTAGATGAATCCACCAACTGAATGCTGAGATCATCTGTCAGTCCCAAACACTTCATATATTATGACTGGTAATTAGCCAAAGAGACATTTAAGTGTTGCAACACCTGGGTAGAGTGTACATGGTGGGCTGCGTGGCACTCTTGCTTCTTGGTTGCAAAGAATAATGGCTCCTTGTGGTTTTTCAGCCCAGCAGCATAAACTGAACAATCACTTTTTGGCCTTACATCACTAATCCTTGATTATGGGATTGCTGCAGGTTAATGGTGGGATCCTGTGGCCCTCCAGAGGTTAGATTCCAACCAAAACTTGGATGTTCAGTTTTAGCATTAATTCATTAAAATCAGGCATTCAAAACTAAGAAACTAACTCATTGGTGTTGATGTTAACAACTGAAAATATAAAAATTTAGCATTACTGAAGCCTTAATTCGGTAGCTAGTTTCTTTGTACTGAGTACATGTCACACACATCCCTCTTCCCAAAGAAGGACAATACCTCTATGTCCCTTTAGAAAGTAGTTTTATACTGGAAAGTAGTTTTTTACTGTAACCTTGAGAGTAGAAATGGAATTAACATCAGGAAATCTTGGTTAAAACGGTTAAAACAATATAGTTTCTCTGGGCTTCTGGAAGTTGTAGTCTAAGATTATCAAGAGCCCTAAGGTTGGGAAGCACTGCTTTATTAAGAAGCAATTAGTTAGAATCACTAGCAGCTCTCCAAGGATACCTATATTCAAAAACATTTATTATAGTGTTCTGTTAAAGAACTGTTCTGGGAATTGCCGACTGGCTCTTTACAGGGCAAGGGACAATGTTTGCAAAGTTTTACATGACTTGCCATAGTTAATTGTTAACTGAAAAACTGCCAGGGTGCATCTCAATTGCACAACAGGAGACCTATTGAAGGAGGGTGACTTAGACATGCCCCAGTAGTTTGTCTATTAGCCGCAGCAAGTTATGCAAACCTGACCAATGGTTCTCAACCTTGAGATTCCTAGTGGTCTTACACAATAACTTCCAGAAATCCAGAGAAATGCCATACACTTGTGGCTCTGCTACCTTAACATTTATTTGCAGTGTTACCCAAGTACTACAAGAGGGCCGAAAGCTCGGGCTGCCTAGTATAAAGCTAGTTTTTAAAGGATTTTTCCCTTTAACAGCTACAATGTGGACCATCAGAATCCCCTTTACAGAACGGCAGGCAACTAATGCTTTTCATAAATAAAACTCACATTAAAGTCGCTTTTTTAAAATATTATTTTTAAGTATTAGGCTTGAGCGAGTTTTCCTGGTAGGAGTCCAAATACATGACGAATTTAGCTTTAATTTGTTAATTTTAACATGTTATTTCCAAGCTCTGGTTCCAGCTGTCACAGACCTCAGACAACATAATCAGCAGCTAGAGATTGCAGGAGTTGTAATCCACAGTTAGTCCTAAATACTGGAGAGGCTGTCTTGGACACAACCACAACATGTGGTGGTTGTGTCCCAGGGTTCAAAAGTTTTTGAGCTAATTTTTTTTTAGATAGAGACTTTGCAAAAACGTTCACAATTAGACCCCTCCCTTGGTTTGTTGACACTGTTACAAGGGGGAAATGCAAATTTATTACATAAACAGCTGATCTCAGTTTCCCACTTAGCTGCCTGCCTGATTATTGCAGTCCTATGGAACAACATGACCAATACTACAGCAGTGGTCCCCAACCTTTTCCCAACCGCGGACCAGGGTGTGTGTGGTGCACCCGCAGGGGGGTGGAGCTTGCTTGCACACGTTGCACTCGTGGGGGGCACTCATGCACATGCACACAGCACGCTCACAGTGGTGGAATGCACTCACATGCATGTGCATATGAGCGCTCGCAGGGGGTGGGACGTGCTTGTGCACATGCGTGTGATGATGCTCGCAGCGGGGGTAGGAGAGCTGTGTCTGCAGCCCAGTCCTGGATAGGCCGCAAACTGCTGCCGGGTCACAGACTGGGGGTTGGGGACCTCTGTACTACGGGACCAAAATTACATAAAAATCAACTTAAAAATTAAAATCAAGTTTTAAAAAATTTAACTTGGGTCCTTTACTTTGTCCTGCAGATTTTGGACCTGATCAAACTGACTTCTAACTGTCAATATCTATGTCATACAGTGGGCAGGTATGTCAGGATTCCTACACTGGGACAGAATTTTGGACTTAAGGGTCTAGGTGCAGAAGTGAGTGAGCACGTGGATGTGAGAGAACTAGGGAGGTGGCAATTAATCATCCTCACCCCTTTCCAAAAATCATCTGTTCAGAAATGTAGGGTTTACAAACATCGAACTTTTATCGACGCATGAAAAAATTCCACCATCAATTAATGCTTTTAAAACATTTAAATCCAAATACATCTTTAGTGGAGAGGGTAAAATGGCAATTTTAGTAAAACTTACTTGTGCACCATCATAGCTGAAAATTCCCACCACGCTAACAGGCACTGCTTTGTTCAAACACCGTCCCAAAGCTTTGCGATTGAGAGCAAAAACAAAGGGGATATTCTGTTCACAAGCATAGTCAATGATGAGATGCAGAGTCTCGTCCAATCCACCTGGAGTAAAACAAGACGGGGGGGGGGAGAATGAGTCCATAAGACTGACCCTGTCAATGGCTTCTGTTGACAAAAGTAGCTCACTGCACTTTGCACATATGCCAACAATAAGGCATCCGTAAGGCACTTAACTTCTTTTTCCCTCTCTATACTTCACCGTCATAATTTTGATCTTTGTTTGTTTTAGCTAAATACCTTTTCAATATAAAGACTCACCTTTTGACTGAATTTTTTCACAGTTTGGGGAAATGATGACACATTTCAACTTTTTCAGTTTCAAGTGTTTCAACACCTCTCTGAGTCCCATAACAAGCCTGCGTTTCATCTTGGCCTTCACAGGGTCTTTCTGATACAGGCGGTCTTGGAAGCGAACCAGCTCTTTCAAGAGATCTGTTACGCAGCTGTCAACTTCTTTACTGAGTACTTGGGTACAGTAACTAAAGAAAGAACCAACCATTTCAGTATTATGGTGAATGCCCGATTTTCCTTTCCTTTTTATTTACACCCACTTATTCAATGATACAAGCAAAACTGACAAACCATGTCTAGAACAAATCAAAATGTTTAGTGTTTCTAGTTTTAAAAATACACCACTTACTTGCTAGTCAAAACGGGAACAAAATGCTCTTCAAATGTGTTTTCAAACTGAAGATTTAAATGATTCAGAAGAATTTCATTTACTTGCAGATGAAGCCAGGGAAAAATATAGACCAAACATTGAAATTGCCTCTTTATTTACATGAACTCACTTGCTCCTCAAAACAGCAATATCTGAAGCAGTGGCACTAAAGACATGAAACAGGCCTCAAGCAGGAAACATACACTTCTGCCAAAGACAACTCACGTCACAATAAATTGCCTCTACTAAGATGAAATGAAGAATAGCAAACTGCATCCCTATCCTTCTCAATATGCAGTTATTTGTGTGCCTAAAATCAGAGAACTACCATGTTTCTGAGTTACTGGTGGGTGAAAAACACCAATTTTGATAATTACATATCCTTTTTGAAATCCAAGTTTTATGGTGAAGCATGACTATTACTTGATTAGTGCAGCATATACTGGTTTGCAGAAAACAAGAACTTTTACACAGTGTATAAACACAATCTAGGATCTTTGGGCTTGCAGCTTACATTCACAGCAAAATTCCATCTGGTAAGACAAGAGATGGGAAATATTCAAAAAAGATGTTGAGTAAATAGTCTAGTACTATATTTTAGCATTGGATATGGAAACATGATTGGTTCAAAATTGGGAAAGGAGTATGACAAGGCTGTATATTGTCCCCCTGTTTATTTAACTTATATGCAGAATACATCATGCGAAAGGCAGGACTGGAGAAATCCCAAGCCGGAATTAAGACTGCTGGAAGAAATATCAACAACCTCTGATATGCAGATGATACCACTCTGATGGCAGAAAGTGAGGAGGAATTAAGGAACCTCGTAATGAGGGTGAAAGAGGAGAGTGCAAAAACAGTCTGAAGCTAAACTTATTTAACTTATATGCAGAATACATCATGCGAAAGGCAGGACTGGAGAAATCCCAAGCCGGAATTAAGACTGCTGGAAGAAATATCAACAACCTCTGATATGCAGATGATACCACTCTGATGGCAGAAAGTGAGGAGGAATTAAGGAACCTTGTAATGAGGGTGAAAGAGGAGAGTGCAAAAACGGTCTGAAGCTAAACTCAAAAAAACTAAGATCATGGCTACTGGTCCCATCACCTCCTGGCAAATAGAAGGGGAAGATATGGAGGCAGTGACAGATTTTACTTTCTCATGCTCCATGATCACTGCAGATGGTGACAGCAGCCACAAAATTAAAAGACGCCTGCTTCTTGGGAGGAAAGCGATGACAAACCTCGATAGCATCTTAAAAAGCAGAGACATCACCTTGCCAACAAAAGTCCAAATAGCCAAAGCTATGTTTTTTCCTGTAGTAATGTATGGAAGTGAGAGCTGCACCACAAAAAACGCTGACCGCCGCAGAACTGATGCTTTTGAATTATGGTGCTGGAGGAGGCTCTTGAGAGTCCCCTGGACTGCAAGGAGAACAAACCTATCCATTCTAAAGGAAATCAACCCTGAGTGCTCACTGGAAGTACAGATCCTGAAGCTGGGGCTCCAATACTTTGGCCATGTCATGAGAAGAGAAGACTTCCTGGAAAAGATGCTGATGTTAGGAAAATGTGAAGGCAGGAAGAGAAGGGGACAACAGAGGATGAGATGGCTGGACAGTGTCATCGAAGCTACCAACATGAATTTGACCCAACTCCGTGAGGCAGTGGAAGACAGGAGGGCCTGGTGTGCTCTGGTCCATGGGGTCATGAAGAGTCGGACACAAGTAAACAACAACAATATTTTAGCGTGCCAATTTAGGATGGCAGAATATGTGCCAGGAGGGATCCTCCCAGTTTCCTCTCTTGGGGTGCCATTTTTGGACTGCAAATATTCTCAGGCAAGGTAAAAGTTAAAATTTTGCATTCCCAGATGAATATGATATTTGTAATGAGATACTATTCCATGAGCAGCTGGATAATTATGGAATACCGTATTTTCCCATTTATAAGACACCCCTGTTTATAAGAAATCCCACCCTCCCACTTTTCTAACTCAAAAATTAAGAAAACTTAGCTTTGAGTATTCAGCTGCTAGGCTCAGAATGCTCGGACATTACACGTCCCTGTTGCATCCGAGTCTACAAGCACCACCTCCAATAAGATGTGTTCCAACTGGTTTGTTCAGAATCAGCTAACGTCAGTTCCATAATGCTCATGATTGGAGGAAGCTAAGTCTCCTGGCTGTAGGAAGCTAAGCCTTGTGATTGAAGGAAGCCTATTCACAGAGGCAAGGTAAGGGCCATTTTGTTCTCTCCTTGCCTTACTTCTGTGTATAAGACGCTCCTCAATTTTTAGTGTAATGATTTTAGAAAAAAGTAGCAACTTATCAACAGGAAAAATGTGGTACTTCTCTTACTTAAAATAGTGTGCACTAACAAGCAGTTTTTACATTTGAGATCATGGAAGGTATGACGGGTTTATGGAAAGGTGGAGCTACTCCCTATTTTATAACAGAATTTTGTTTCTCTCTTAATAGTTTTAATGTGTAAGAGAACACACTGCAAATTAACACTAGTTATCAAATTTGGAGTGGCTGTGCAAAAGGGAACTAACAATATTACATATGAATAATTCCTACATTGGTCAGCTGTCCCATGTTCAACCTCTGCAAACCGAAGTAATACAAAGAAGGGCATTGCACTCACGCTCTGCTTGTGGCTTTTCCACAGGCTACAGCTTGTCTGCAGATTTCCCATAGGCTAACCTATACAAGCCTTTCAGCAGATCCAGCTGGGCTCTGCTTAAGTAATGAAGATAGTCACACTGAAACTTGCCTGTATGTAAGAAAAGGTGGGTGGATGGAACCTGCCTTCCTCTCAACTCCAGCAGAGACCCACTGCTATGTGAGGCAGGAAAGGAAACCGGAGCAGCTTATTCCTGCTTTTACTCCTCATAGATGGACGTACATCTCACAAGATAATCACTCTACATCTCCCAAGTAACAAGTGAAAGTGGTAATCTACTCCCTCTTAGAACTTCTTTGAACCTATGCTTGAAAAGATTGGATTTCCTAAGATCTGTACTCTACTTTCCTTTCACTAGTCTTATTTCCAGAACTCACAAACTGGTTTTCCACTGACATAAATAAATCAGCAATATAAAACTAAGGCAAGGCAGTGGGTTAGAACACTGAACTAGTAGCTTATGCATTGTCTCTATCTTGAGCTGACCTAACACACACCACTCCACCTCAACTTCAACCCCCATCTTTAACATGGGAACAACAATGCTGGTAATAACAATACTCAATCTTACAAACTGTATTAAGGACTACAACTCTGTAAATAAGAACATAAGAAGAGCCCTGCTGGATCAGGCCAAGGGCCCATCTAGTCCAGCTTCCTGTGTCTCACAGTGACCCCACCAGATGCCTCTGGGAGCACATGAGACAACTAGATACCTGTCTCCTGATACCCCTCCCCTGCATCAGGCATTTGGAGGTACTTTCCTTTTAAGCCTGGAGATTATACATCCCCATCATGGTTTATAACCTGAGATGGACTTTTCCTCCAGGAATCTGTCCAATCCCCTTTTCAAGGCATCTAAGCCAGATGCCATCACCACATCCTGTGGCAAGGAGTTCCACAGACTAACAACACTCTGGTTAAAGAAATATTTTCTTTTATCTGTTCTCAATCTCCCAACACTCAATTCGAGTGGATGTCCCGTGGTTCTCGTATTGCCTGAGAGAGAAAAGAGCTTCCCTCTATCCACTTTATCCATCCCCTGCATTATTTTATACGTCTCAATCATGTTCCCCCTTAGGCACCTTTTCTCTAGACTAAAGAGCCCCAAACACTGTAGCGGGAGGCGCCCCTGCCCAGTCATCATTTTAGTCACTCTCTTTTGCACCTTTTTCAGTTCCATGATGTCTTTTTTGAGGTGAGGCGACCAGTACTGTATGCAATACTCCAGGTGTGGCCTTACCAGCATTTTGTACAATGGCATGATAATGTTGGCTGTTTTATTTTCAATCCCCTTTTTAATGATACCTAGCATGGAATTGTCCTTCTTCACTGCCGCCACACACTGGGTTGACACTTTCATCAACATAGATAAATGTTAAGTGTATTTCTCCATAGCATCAGTTTGCAGAAAATTCAAAACCTCACTGTAATAAATGGATTTTACTGGAAGCTTTACCTACTGTTACTTTAAAGAACTACTGAACTGAATGGTATGTACAGGGGTTATATTAATTAAAAGCCTGAAAATCTTGGCCCAAATTTAACATCGTAGTGTCACTGCAGTGCCAGCACAACAGAACTACAGTTCTTTTTCCCTTGCAGCCTTCAAAAATTGGCCCAAGAGGGTTTTTCGTGGCTCTCTGGAACATATTTTTGGCGTATATGAGGCTACAGTGAGAAAACTGTGTCCTGTCCTTCTACTTTCCCCCTAATCTTCCTTCCCTGGTGGCTACCTTCAATCTGCACCTTCAAGAAAACCCACCACTTCATCCTGAAGTGCTCATTGTGTCTCAATAAGGTACATCACCCCAGATCTTAATGAAGTGCTTTGAGAAGTTAGTTCGGAAATATATTATCTCCTGCCTTCCTGATCCCTTTGATAGGCTTCAGTTTGCTTATAAAGAAAATAGATCAACCGAGGATGCGATCAATACTGTGCTTTATATGGCTTTATCCCACTTGGAAACACAAGGGAATTATGTAAGAATGCTGTTCGCGGACTTTAGCTCTGCTTTTAACACCATTATACCCCACAGATTAACAGACAAACTTAAAGATCTTGATTTTCCAGATGCTATCTGTCTGTGGATTTTGGATTTTTTAACAAATCGTCCACAAAGGGTTAAACTGAATGACTACATCTCTACTGACAAGATACTCAGCACTGGCACTCCACAAGGCTGTGTCCTTAGTCCACTACTGTTCTCCATTTATTCATCGGATTGCACCAATAACCATCCCAGTAATAGGATTATCAAATTTGCAGACGATACTACACTAGTAGGACTTATCTCTGGGGATGATGAGTCTGCGTATCAGGACGAGGTATTACAGCTATCCCGTTGGTGCAAAAAAAACAATCTTTTATTTAACATCCAAAAAACCAAGGAATTCATAGTGGACTATAGGAAAAAAAGAGCAGACATTCAGCCACTGTATATAGATGGAGTTTGTGTGGAACAGGTGGTTGAATGTAAGTTTCTTGGGACTATCATAACAAATGACCTGACTTGGAGTGCAAACACCGCTGCGTTAATCAGGAAGGCACAACAACGGTTGTATTTTCTAAGGATTCTTAGAAAGCAACAATTGACTGAGAGTTTGTTAATCACCTTCTATCGGAGTTCGATTGAGAGCATATTATCCTACTGTCTCTGTGTATGGTTCACGAGCTGCACAGTGGCAGAGAAAAAGGCAATTCAAAGGGTGATTAAGACAGCCCAAAACATCACTGGCTGTTCACTCCTCTCTTTGGAAGAATTGTATAAGAACAGATGTAAGAGGAAGATATCTAACATACTGAAAGACTCCTCTCATCCGGGATATCAGCTCTTTAAACTATTACCATCAGGAAGGAGATTCAGGGTATTGAAAGCAAGGACAAGCAGATTCAAGAACAGTTTTTACCCAAATGCAGTATTGAGTTTAAAAGCGGGGCCATAGGTTTTTGGTGGAATTTTAATTGCTGAGAGAAAACGGGGTATCTATATTTGGATGGTGAAAGTTGTGTATATTTTAACTTTTTTTTTGTAGTGTTGTCCAGTTTTACCTAGGGGAAGAGCACCTCATTTCGTTGCACCCACTTGTGAGCGCAATGACAAATAAATTTCTTATGTCTTATGTCTTATTTTTCATTTAATGTGAGGAAGCAGCAGCAGATCTGTCCAACCTGTTCCAATGCATCTTATGAGGCATTCTATTTCACAAAGCCTCTGAGTCAACAACAACTGGACCAACGCATTTGCCTCATATGTCCAACATAAACATACTTACTCTCGAAATCTTCGGCTGTGGATTTTGGGAAGATTGGATCTTAGCTGTGTTGGGACAAGGGAGTCTCCTGGGGAGCCACTGGAGTCTGCAGATTTCAAGTCTACTTCTGATTTATCTGAATTCAGAATGGGAGGCTCCACAGGTGTGTCTTCAGCACACTCTAGATGTCAAAGGAAAAGATTATTTTAAATTGACCAGAATATAAAATCTGTAATACACTTCTTAAACTTATTTTTGAGTTCAGAATAACTGAAGGTCTGAGTCCAGTGAGAGAAAAAATGAAAGTGAAAATCAATATGCCACTTGACAATTTTAAAGTGAACATTAAATCTTTGCCGCACTTCTCTGACGATCCATTTCAGAGGCATATCTAATTCTTAACACATATGCAGGACACTGTGAAAAAGGTATAAATCTTCAGGCCATGATATTATCTTTTTCACACCTGTGCAGTTACTTATAATTGATACAGGCTCTAACTTAGAGAAAAATAACTATTTTTTCCTTTTAAAGAAATGCTCAGCAAGCATGCAGTAAAACTTTACTATGTGAGAATTTCAGTTCTAACAGTCAACATAAATAATGATTATGAGACATATGGAAACTCCTGGAAACCGGTTCCGTGAGCAGCACATGCAGCATTAAACCACGGGGCTGAACAATGTGAAGTTCAGAACATATAGCCAATCATTATACCATAAGGATCGATCCAGAAACAAAGGAATAAAATGTATTCATGTGGGGCAAAAAACTCCTACAACAGCCTGCAACAATTAAATAGACCAGGCAAATGATGGAAAGGACAGCATTACTTGTCATGTAACTTGACAGCTTTTTCCATTTCAATGTTTTATTTTTTTCTAGAACCATACTTGTTCAACCAAGAGTTGAATTATAAGGTCAAGAGAATACCTGGTTCATCTTAAAGGCCATGAAAGCAAAACCTTAGCACAAAATAATCACAGATACTTTTCAACCCTACAATCCTGACATCTAAAGGCAGGAAAGATGTAAGACAGAAAAGCATATTCCAAATGAATCCCAAGATCTTTAAGATTCCTGTTAGAAGAGAAACTGAAGTGCTTCCCCCCCCTTGCAGCCTTCAAAAACTTGCCCAAGAGGGTCAGTGGGTTTTTTTTTTGGGGGGGTAGTTGTTGCCGCTTTTTTGCTATATTCTGTAACTGTACTGACCAGTGAGTGCCCTTGCACAAAGGAAACTTACAAGTGCAAACAGTTCTGGGTACTAAGGGAATGGGAACGGGAAAATAACAAGTAGACACCTTTCAAGTAAGGGAAAACATAGCTATTTCTATCTGCCTCTGATTCCTGGCAAATATTACAAAAAGGTCACAAGTGGAAATTATTTGAAAAGAGAGCCACACTGGAAGACAAAAAAATTCCTTGTGCAAATTTTAAATGAAGGCATTATTTTATTTTGGCTTAAATAATATGGCAACTATAACTTGGGAAACATCTTTAGTAGCACTTTTCCTTGCTCAAAGGGAGGGAAAACAAACAGCATTCTCATTCAGACTGTACCTGCTCTGGTCTCTTCATGTGTCAGATTCTCAGCAGCAGATTCTGCACTCTGCTGACCAGCATCATCATCCTTTGGTATTGCTATCTGTTCTAAAAGGTGTTGCTGTTTCCGCTGTTCTCGCTCTTTCAAAATA